ACACACACACACACACACACACACACACACACACACACACACACACACACGTGTCTCTGACCAAGGCTGAAAGCAGCACTGGCCTTCGACTAACTATAAACATAAGTATCAAGAAAAGAGTTTAACAATGCCTCCACATACCAAAGCATCAGTAGTAGATTTCCTCCCTAAGCCTATGCATTACTTGATCTTTGGCTTTTAACCAGGTTGCATATCAGGTATGAATTTTCTCTTGCAGAAGAGAACTCAGCTCCAAGCAGAAGGCAGTCAGTCACCCCCATGCCATTGCTGCACCACTGTGCACAGCTTGTCTGGTAGCACAGTAAATCATAGCACACTGAATGAGAGTAGCAGCGACTTTTCTTCCCATGTAGCCCGGTTAACACCTTTCAGCACCAGCCAGCAGAGAGGAAGCTTCCGGCTCAGCTCAGCTCCAGCTTAGTTTCTCTGCATCCCCGACCAGCAACTTTTAAGAATATGTAGCAAATCTAGGATTGGGGTTTTTAGTTAAATAAGCCACGGCTTTTAGAAACTGCATTAGCCAATGCTACCTCTATTTATGTCCTTTGTAAAAATTTATTGTTAATTAGCTTATGAGGTATAGGTTTCCATATGGCTCTTTCACACATATCTCCTAAGGTTTGGTTAATTCTTCCCTCACTTCCTCCTCTCTTCCATCTCCCTACCTTTATCCCTTCTTAACCCTTCCCAAACCCCAGTATTACACATGCACCAGGCTACTTCAATCCCAATCCAGATACTGACAACGGCCAGATGCTCCTGCACCACCCATTCCCAGGACTAGTTGACCCAGCAGGTGAGAGCATTGTTTTCTTCCTGTAGTCAACAGAGCCTGAAAGAGGTCAAAAGATCACACTGCGGCTAAGTAATGGAATTGGTATTGGTACTGTGTTTTCATTATCGTTCAGTTTGAAATGGGATCTAATTTCTCTTATAATATTTTCTTTCAGTCATAAATTATTTAGAAGTATATCATATAATTTTCAAAGTTTGAAAGTTAAGTGGTTTTCCTGGACAGCCTGTAATTACTTCTAACTTCATTTTATTGTTACCACATAGTGTATTCTACACAGTGTATTCTACACAGTGTATTCTACACAGTGTATTCTACATAGTGTATTCTACATAGGAGCCATGTGACTTCAATACATTTTTGTTGGCTGAGGCACTTTTGGTGACTCCATGAATGGGCCATGTACACATTAGTAGAACTTGTATCTTTACAGTTGCATATAACGTTCTACTAAGTCACTGATTAGGAATGGTCAGATTTTGCTAACTGAAATTATTTTCTAGATCCATCAATTGTTGAGCTAACTTTTTCATATATAATTGTAAATTGCTTATTTCTCTCTAAAATTTTACTTGTTAGTTCATGTATTTTGAAGCTCAATAATTATGAACATAGACATTTATGATAGTTACATCTTCATATTGAATTTATATTTCATTATTATGAAATTCTACTACTAGTAAAAAATTTTCTTTTTGTATTATTATGAAATTCTATTACTAATAGAAAGTTTTTTCTTTAAATCTATTTTTCCTGGCACTAAAAAAGCCACAAGACCTTCTTATGCTAATTATTGCCTTGGTTAATATTTTTATAACCACTTATTTTCTACTTATCTGTGTCTGTATAGTGAACCTCTTATAGTCAGCATATTGATTTTCTTTTGTTTATCTATTCGGGCAACCCGAGTCTTTTAATGGTTTTCCATTAATATTTAATATCAATACATTTGTTTAACATTACATTGCTGCTTGTTCCCTCCAACATTCTTGTTTTCTTTTGATTTCTCAGCTATATTCTGCATATCTTAAATGATTGTTCTAGAGCTCTGTTGTCCGATATACTAGTCATCAGCCACTTGGGGCTGCTAAATGCTGAAAATGTGGCTAATCCAAAGTAAGACACACTAATGTCTAAAATGTACACAGAATTCTGAGGATTTAGTGTGAAAACACACAATAGCATATTAATAATTTTATAAAAATTGTATGTGAAAAATATTTTGTATATGCTACAGTGAATGCATAGCTTACTAGCATTAATTTCAACTCTTCATTTTTACCTTTCTACTGCAGCCACTCAGGTTTTAGATTGCATATATGATTCATTTTTATAGGACAGCATTGCTCTAGACTAGTGGTTCTCAACCTGTGGGTCACAACCCCTTTGGGAATCAAACGACCTTTCACAGGGGTACCTAAGACCATCAGAAAATACAGATATTTACCTTATGATTCCTAATAGTAGCAAAATTACAGTTACGAAGTAGCAATGAAAATAATCTATGGTTGTGGATCACCAACCATACAGGAGGAACTGTATTAAAGGTCTCAGATTAGGAAGGCTGAGAACCACTGCTCTAGATACTTTAGCATGCACATCAAATCTTTACAGGATTTATACATTCATATTGTATGTAACCCTTCACAGAAAATATGGACACTAAGCTGGGAGTGTCATCAGCTAGTAGCAGGCTCGCCTAGAATGTGATTTCCAGCAGCTCAAGCCAACAGCAACAACAGCACACAAAACAAAACCGCAAACTCTGCTGCCCAGCTGCTCCTCAAATCAGAAACAGTTCCTGTTGGATCTGTAGCTGTCTTGCGCAGCCCCCGCTGCAGCCTGCTCTTAGGCTAAAAGCCATCACTGCGCCCTTTGCAACTGCTGACTCTGCTGCAAAATCGTCCTCACGCTCCACTGTGTCTTCAGTAGCTTCTCCTGTTTCCCCCCCATCTCCACTCTTACCTCTAGATTACAATTTAATGTTGTAAGCTAATTAGAAGCTTATTAAGGAAAGGGGGATTGCTCATTTAAAGAGTACATGGAGACTAACAGGGTAGAAGAACGCACTTAAAACTATAAATTAGACATAAATCATTCAAAAGTCCACCAGTCATATTTATTCAGAATCTTCGGCTGACCTTTCCTTCAGAGCCTCAACATATCAGAATATTCAAAACCTGAGATCTGCCTATCAATATTTTATATTTTATATGTATTAAGCAAACAGAATTGCAAACACCAGCCAGCGGCTGGCCCTAGCCCATTTCAATCCTTCTTACCCTTTCTCCCAGCATGCCCTGGACTTCATCATGGTCCAGAACTGAAGAGTTATACAGGGAACCTCAGAGAGGTCTCTGAGATCCAGCTTCAACACTGTGGCTTACACTTCAAACAAAATCCATTAGGAGGGGTTCTGTTTTATCGGACATTTGTGTTTTAAATAGCACCTCTATACCTACATGCCACTAGCAAAGTGATCATCTAATATTGGAGAAACAGAATTGTCTTAGTTAGGGTTACTATTGCAGTGATGAAACACTGTGCCCAAAGAAACTTGGGGAGGGAAGGGTTTGGTCAGCTTACACTTCCACCTCGCAATTATATCATCAAGGAAGTCAGGGCATGGGTACCCAGGCAGGGCAGGGACCTGGAGGCAGCAACTGATGCAGAGACCGTGGAGGGGAGCTGCTTACTGGCTTTTTCCTCATGTCTTGTTCAGCCTGCTTTCTTACAGTACCTAGGACTTTCCGCCCATGGGTGGCCCCAACCAGAATGGGCTGGGCTCTTCCCCATCAATCATTAATTAAGAAAATGCCCTGCAAGTTTACCTCCAACCCGATCTTAGAGAGGCATTTTCTCAATTGAGGTTCCCGTCTCTCTGATGACTTTAGCTTTTATCAAGCTGATATAAAAACCAAGCAGCACAAGAATCTTTAGCCTTTTAGTCCACGCCCAGGGTTTCCGTGAGATCCCATTATGTGCATGAATAAAGCATTGGCTCTCTGGGTTCTTCCGAGGACCCAGACAAGGCCTGCATTTCTTCGGCTCTAAGTGTAGCTTCTTGTTTGCAGTTTGCATTAGTCGCATCTTGTCTTGAGAGCACACATTACAAGTTTACCGCTCCATCTTTTCCAGAAAACTGCTGTCCGTCCATGCGGGAATGGATATCCTATAACTTCTTGCTGAGCAAAGTATTTTTAAATTTCCTCAAAAGAGGCCAACAAGGAAAGCAACTGCAAAACCCAATGAGAAAGGGCATAAGTCCTTCAAATAAGTATGAATGTGAATATGATTTGAGCAAAGTGAGAAAACAAAACACAGCCCCACGCCAGCAAATCCTAGAATTCTAATAAGCCCTACTGCGCAGGCGCAGGAACAAGTGCTGCGGTGAGGGCGGGGTCACAAGAACAGGAATCCTTTAGGGTCGCTACGTGTGTCGCTTCAAACATGGTAGGTTTCACTGACATTGCTAAAACGATCTTCTTTTCATGACATTTTGAAATTTTACATGAATTCCTAAATTTTAATATTTATCTTGAAAACCTTCAAGGTAGTCATAATTCACTTTTTGGTTAAGTCTTTCAAAGGTTTCCCATTCCAAAATTTATAGTGCGTTTGTACAAGAGAACCGCTCATTGCTGCTGGGACATAATTGCTTAGAAATACACCCTTTGGGAGATTTCATTTGAAAACACACACCTTTCTAGAATCATTTTCAATGTTTAATGTGTAAAATAGTGTCACTGAGATGTGCGTCTCAATGTCTTCAAATACATTTTGGTTAAATGAGAATTAACCTACTTTATGCAATTACAGACGTTTCTAGTGTAATATATCAAAGTCCAAAGCACAGCGAAAATAAACATCTCCTTCTCTTTTAGTGAGCTCTTGACTGCGACAGCGCTGTGGCGAACATGGCACCCAAGAAGAAGGCTATCAAAAAGAACAAAGCAGAGATCAACGAGATGACTATCATCGTAGAAGACAGCCCCCTAAACAAGCTGAGTGCTCTAAACGGGCTCCTTGAGGGCGGCAACAGCCTTAGCTGTGTCTCTTCTGAGCTAACAGACACTTCCTATGGCCCCAACCTCCTGGAAGGTTTAAGTAAAATGCGGCAAGAGAACTTCCTGTGTGACTTAGTCATTGGTACCAAAACCAAATCCTTTGATGTTCATAAATCAGTCATGGCTTCGTGCAGTGAATACTTTTACAACATCCTTAAAAAGGATCCATCAACGAAACGGGTGGACCTCAACGATATCGCCCCCTTAGGCCTAGCCACAGTGATTGCGTATGCGTACACGGGAAAGCTGACCCTCTCTCTGTACACAATAGGAAGCATCATCTCCGCTGCCGTGTACCTTCAGATCCACACTCTTGTAAAGATGTGCAGCGATTTTCTGATACGAGAGATCAGTGTTGAGAACTGCATGTATGTTGTTAATATCGCCGAAACATACTGCTTGAAAAATGCCAAAGCGACCGCCCAGAAATTTATCCGAGATAACTTCATCGAATTTGCAGAATCAGAGCAATTTATGAAGCTTACGTTTGAACAAATTAATGAGCTTCTCATGGACGATGACTTGCAGTTGCCTTCTGAGCTGGTAGCATTCCAGATTGCAATGAAATGGCTAGAGTTCGACCCCAAGAGAGTGAAGCACGCAGCAGATCTTCTAAGTAACATTCGATTTGGTACCATTTCTGCACAGGACCTGGTCAATTACGTTCAAACTGTACCAAGAATGATGCAAGATGCCGATTGTCATAAACTGCTCGTGGATGCTATGAACTATCACTTATTACCTTACCATCAAAACACCTTGCAATCCAGGCGAACAAGAATTAGAGGTGGGTGCCGAGTTCTCATCACTGTTGGGGGACGCCCTGGCCTGACTGAGAAGTCCCTTAGTAGAGACATTTTGTATAGAGACCCTGAAAATGGATGGAGCAAGCTCACAGAAATGCCAGCCAAGAGTTTTAACCAGTGTGTGGCTGTGATGGATGGATTCCTTTACATAGCTGGTGGTGAGGACCAGAATGACGCAAGAAACCAAGCCAAGCATGCTGTCAGCAATTTCTGCAGGTACCCAGTACTTTGTTGGTAATGCAAATGAAGTGCAATGTGGAGAAACTGCCTTGACCCAGAATTCATGCCTGTTATCTTAGGTCATTAACCATATAGTAGTGGTAGTAGTAAAGCTTTCGATATTTGTAACATGACGGGCCTGTTTGTTGGGGTATCTGTTCCCTCCTGGTACCCCACAGCCAGCAAGTCCCAGAGAAAAATCAACCACACAGAGATCTCTATAAGTTATAAAGCTGATTAGCCCATTAGGTCAGGCTACTTATTAGCTCTTATAACTTTTATTACCCCATTATCCTTATCTACGTTAGCCACACAGCTCGGTACCTTTCTCAGCTGGGCAGGTTACATGCTGCCTCTTCAGTGGTCTGGGCAGGAATGGCAGAGGGAGCTTCCTGCTTCCCAGAATACTCCCAGTCTCTTTGCTCCACCTCTACTTCCTGTCTGGCTTTCGTGTCTATACTGCCTGCCTGGCCAATCAGCATTTTATTAAAATATGATTGACAGAATACAGACAATTCTCCAGCGGAGCTGCGGGCAGGCCTGCTTTTCATCCTGCCCAGCTCCTGCACAGCTAGCTTAGCCCCAGAAATAATAACACATAAGTTGTATTCATTTAAATATTGCCTGGCCCATTATCTCTAGAGAGTTAGTTACTGACTAACTCTCACATCTTGATTAACCCATTTCTAATAATCTGTGTAGCACCACGAGGTGGTGGCTTACTGGAAAAGATTCAGCATGTCTGACCTGGTGGCTGGCTCCATGGCATCTGCCTCATAGCCCTCTTCCCAGCATTCTGTTCTGTTTACTCCACCTACCTAATTTTCTGTCCTATCAGAGGGCCAAGGGAGTCTCTTTATTAACCAATGAAAATAACACATAAACAGAAGGCCCACCTACATCAGATATTTACCATGTTTCATATAACGTGCATCCTAGATATATGCACCCTAGATTTCTTTTCTACTTTTTAATGTTTTTCAGTTAGCATACAAAGGGATGGATTTTCATGCACATATGCCATTACACTTTTGTACACATATCTCTTGGCCACTCTCTGCCCCTGCTCCTGCTTCCTCTTATTGGTCCCCTTGTTGGTTTCCCAGAATCCCTCCTTTGCATCCACATGAATTCCATTATCACCCTGCCTTAAAATCTCTTCCTCCTCTCTCATGGTCACCTTTCTATTTTCACACACACCCATCAAACATAACCAAGAAGCAAGATTTCTATGACGTCTTTATTGACTCATTATATGTGTGTACCCACTACTTACCAAGAATCCACACAAAGCATTGGAGAAATGGGTCAGGGTTAAAAGTACCACTGCTCTTGCAGAGGGCCCAAATTTGGCACCACATCAGGTGGCTCACACCAGCCTGTAAGTCCAGCACCAGGGCATTCAACACCTCCTTCTGGCCTCCGAGGAAGCCTGCACTCACAGAACACATGCACAGACACAGACACACATGTGCACACACACTCTTTATATACATACATATATATTTTACATGTGTATGTATACATATGTATGTGTATATATTATGTTTCTAGGTAAACATATTTGTTTATATATTATATATAATTTTAAATTTATACATAAATATAATATATCAATACAATTAATTTATTTTGTAATATAGCATATATTCTATGCAATTTATTTTTATGTACTTTATATTTGTATGTATAAATATGTTCTTTTAAAAAGTAATTCAAGCAATTGGTTTTCAGATTTTTTATGCTTTTTTCGGCTCTGGGCCTTGAACCCAATGGCTCACCTATATCAAGCAAGTGCTCTACCTCTGAGCCACAGTTTCGGTACTCAGTTTGTATCGATACTTACAACTTTATTTGGGAGTGAAAGGGGACAAAGGGGAAGTCTGTTTACAGCACTTCCAAACTATGTGAACAAGGAACAGTGAGTTCCCTGGGTCTCCTTTCCCTTCTGCTGGGTGTCTCACCCTTAAATACTCAAGCCAGCTTTCTTTGTATTGATTTCTATACTGAAAACACTATAACACGAAAAAAAAATCTACAAAATGGAACCTTTGCTAGTAGAAAACTGTTCAGAGAGATCAAGCCTTTCTTGATGCTCTAGACATAATTCCATTAGTCTCATTCTAACAGGCTGGGAGGGGCAGCTTAGCTTTGTCAGTGCAATGAATGGCTGCGGTAGACATGCCAATGAGAAGTTTGTAGAAATCCGAGCAGACAACTCCTATCCTAATTAAGCAGTAAGAAAGAGCTAGCCGTTATTGATGTTCGAAAAAACAGGTTGAGTCCCCTCTAATGTACAGGTTCCCCTTTCAGGTGCCCAGCTTCTCTCCTGCGACCCATTTTGCATGTCTCTTAAGTCTCAGGAAGGGACAGTGGCGGTATTAGAGGAAAGATTTCTGTGGGGTCTCTGTTGTTGTTGTTATTTGGTTTGATTTTTTGTTTGTTTGGGGATATGGTTAAAGGAAATGTCTTCTGAATGGGGAGAGAAGGAAGTATCACTTTTTTATGAATGAAAGGAGAAGCAAGCAATAGCTGTAATTGTCGCGCGGAGGGTGGGGAGGTAGGTCAGGGTTCCCACTTAGGCATTGCTGGGCAACATGGGTTCCCCCACTTCGGTGATCAAGCTGCCCTCTGTCATCTCAGGTACGATCCTCGCTTCAACACCTGGATCCACCTGGGCAGCATGAACCAGAAACGCACCCACTTCAGCCTGAGCGTGTTCAACGGGCTCCTGTATGCGGTGGGCGGCCGCAACGCGGAGGGCAGCCTGGCTTCGCTGGAGTGCTACGTGCCCTCTACCAACCAGTGGCAGCCCAAGGCGCCCCTCGAGGTGGCACGCTGCTGCCACGCCAGCGCCGTGGCCGACGGCCGCGTGATCGTGACGGGCGGCTACATCGGCAGCGCGTACTCGCGTTCCGTGTGCGCTTACGACCCCGCGCACGACGCGTGGCAGGATCTGCCCGAGCTGAGCACGCCGCGAGGTTGGCACTGCGCGGTGACCTTGGGCGACAGGGTGTACGTGATGGGGGGCAGCCAGCTGGGACCGCGCGGGGAGCGCGTGGACGTGCTCACGGTGGAGAGCTTCAGCCCCTTAGCGCGCCAGTGGAGCTTTGTGGCACAGCTGCCCGTGGGCGTGAGCACAGCGGGAGTCTCGGCGCTGCACGGGCGCGCGTACCTGCTGGGCGGCTGGAATGAGGGCGAGAAGAAGTACAAAAAATGCATCCAGTGCTTCAACCCCGAGCTCAACGAGTGGACGGAGGACGACGAGCTGCCCGAGGCCACCGTGGGCGTGTCCTGCTGCACACTGGCCATGCCCAACAGCGTGTCCCGCGAGTCACGGGCCAGCTCGGTGTCCTCCGTACCGGTCAGTATCTGAACGCATTGCTTCCCAGAGGCCTGTGGTCAGACTGCGAGTGGGCCCCAAAGAAAATATACAGCGTTTACTACAGTGATGGCGACTCAAAGCGATCTAGAGGAATGTCCGGGAGGCTCTAAATTCGTAGTTTGGTATCATCTACCTCAGCCTTTCCCCATCTTCCACCAACAAAATAAAGGGCTATAGGCGACAGAAGTAATTTTGTTCTGCAGCCACTGGGTGGCAAATGGAGTTTGTTGCAGGCACTCTTCCGAAGAGGCTGCTTCCTAAATTCCTAGCAGTTACTTGCTGAGATTTTTTTTTTTTTCCTACACGGTACGCGTAAAAGCTTGAATGACTATGCAATTTCCTATTCAAAGATGTCTTTTCTTCTCTGCTTCTTTTGGGAGAGTTGAAAATACTCATTTCAAATTTTCAAATGAGAATAGTTTATACCCATAAAGATTTAATTTTTATAATTCAACATAAAAATTTCTTTCCCTCTCCTTGAGTAAAAAGAACTTTTAAGGACATCTCATGTTAGAGTCAGAAGGCTTTAAACAAGGTGTGGCCGGAAAGCAACACATCCTACTGGGAGACAGTAAGGCAACAGTTTGTAGTTAATGGCGTGTACCCTCATCCTCTGGAAACTACGGATATTTTATGTCATAAAATCCTACTCTCAGGGCTGGAGAGATGGCTCAGTGGTTAAGAGCATTGTCTGCTCTTCCAAAGGTACTGAGTTCAATTCCCAGCAACCACATGGTGGCTCACAACCATCTGTAATGAGGTCTGGTTCCCTCTTCTGACCTGCAGGCATACACAGAGACAGAATATTGTATACATAATAAAATAAATAAATATTAAAAAAATCCTACTCTCAGAAGAGGAGTGGTTTCCAGTCGTTTAATTTATAGGGCAAATAAATTTAAATCATTTGACATATTTCTTAGAATTGATTTTATCTCTTATCATCACTTATATATTGGAAAACATCTTCCTCCCCCCCCCATGGTGAACCGAGGACCTCATGCATGCTAGATAAGTGCTCTACCAGGAAGCTACCTTTCCAGCCTTCATTTTGTTTTATTTTATTTATTGAGACAGGGTCTCTCTACGTAGGCCAGAGTAGCCTCAAACTCCCGGAGATCAGCTTACCTCAGCCTCCTAAGTGCTGAAATTACAGGCATGTGTCACCATTCCCAGCCTTCTGCTTTATTTTAAAGTAGGGTTTTCCTGGGTTACCTAGGTTACCCTTGAACTTACACTCTTCAGTTTCAGCCTCCCTAGTAACTGGGAATTACAGAACTGTACCACCAGGTACAACTTTACCCTAAGTTAAATTGCTTCTACATTAGCCCAAATAATCACCAAATAGCATTATGTTCCTGAGTATCATTGACTTCACCTTACCTTTCCAGCTGTGCAACCAATAGCAGGAATTTTACTGGCCCACTCTTTCTCATGATGATGATGAAGGAAAAAGCATTTAGGATGCTCCTAGTTGGCAATGACTGGATGAATGGATAGATTCACCTATTGAGAAATGTGGTTTGTGTCTCCTGATGTCTAACTTAAAATATTAAGCTAATAATATGTGTTATTTATGATTTATTTTTATTGTTATTACTTCAAATTGCTTTGCAAATCAAAAGGTATCTCTCTCTTTTTTTTTTTTTTTGAGTCAGGGTCCCTATGTAGCTCTGATTTTCCTAGAACTCATTACATAGGCCAAGCTGGCCTCAAAATCACTGAGATTCACTGGTCTCTACCTCTTGAGTGCTGGGATTAAGAGCAGGTGCCACCATGTCAGGCAAAGTATATTTTTCTGCTGCCAAAGAATATTTTCTTATCTGCCAAGTTTGGGGGAGAAGGGAAAAACTAGTAAATGATGCATATTTTCTTTTAACATATCAGTTTATTCTTTGCAGTATATTTGTTTGGGAAGGAAGTACCTATTGATTATAGGTTATGTACAGTTAGTTTAAGGGGATAAATAGGGATCTGGAACTATATCTTGGTTGTCATTGATCCCATCCCTTCCTACCTGTGTGTTGAGTTGTGATGGATATGTCTCAAGCACAGTCATCTCTCCTTGTCTGTGGGCTACATATCTGTAGGTGTAGCCAGCCACACCCCGAAGAGATTTGACAAAAATGCACCTGTAGGAAACATGTGCCGAATAGCCTTTCTTCTTTTTTTTCTTCCCTAAGCAATACAGCACAACAGTTAACATAACTATTGCATTGTATTAGATATGATAATGACCTAGAAACAGTATAAATTCTACAAGAAGATGTGAGCAGGTTATATGTCAATACTATGCCATTTTGTAGTTGGGACGTGAACATCAACTGGTATCCTAGCAAGAAGTAGGGCATGTGCTGGTACCAGTCTCCCAAGGGTACTGAGTGATGGCTACATTTGATTCTAACTGTGAAAAGTGGTTCAAATAAAACATTTTTGAAACAACCTTCCTTATCATCCCTTACAAAAAGTTCAGTTTCGTATTCAATGGCAGCACTCAAGAACAGACTATACCCCCTGGGGGGGGGCGGGGAGTAATCATTAGCATAAAAATACAGAGAGAAAGAGAAGTTTCATCAAGTACAAGGAAAATCTAATGGAACCTGCTCTTTTGACTCCATGGCTATGCAGGCTGGAGAACAAAACTGAGAGAAAATGGCTTTTGGACCAAGTTAATCACTGACTGAACTCCTAAATTATCAGCGGTGCAGCTGCATTGGTAAAATCAACCCCGTTTTTAATGCATCATTTTGGCCACTACTTATTAAATCTGTGTGAGGATGGCTGTAGTATCTTTTCATGGCGATATATACACACCCCTGCAAAGCCTACATTATATCATTAATTTTGAAAGACAAAAGGGTGCTTGAATGTGGATTGCAGGTAATCGAACAAACAGATGTAATTTATTTATGCACGCTAATAGATATCCCTCACTTTGAGAGGAGTGTGAGGACAAGGACCTAGGTCTCCAGAAGAAGTAAAAATCAATGCACTGTAACATCTTAAGATTTAAAACGGGAGAGACACGGAAAGTAGGGGGTTCTCCATCT